GCAGAGCTGGACCCCAAGGTTGAGGGGCTTTCACCCAGCCCCTAGAGCCTGGCACTCTGAACTTGGACTTAAAGCCTCCAAATTTTAAGAATAAACTCCTGTTTGTTAAGGTGATCCCATTTGTGGTATATTCTTGTAGGAGCAGCACTAGGTAACCAGAACAGTGTCCATAGATAATTCCTGCCTGAATCAGTTATCACTGGGATGGCTGCCAAATGATGGTTTTCCTAGACCCATGACTCCTTGTGTATTTACTAGTTGGCATTTTACTGGAAGATTTTTTTCTTGCTCTTTCATTTAAGTGTTTCTATCAGTATGGACTCATGGGTTACTGTTTTATTCAGTGGGTTATAATCTTACTATCTATTTAATACTCAGATTGCCCAGCTTTGGCCAGTGGGAGTCCTTCAAGTTGGCTTTTTGTCATGTCCCCTTGAATTTTTAAGCACTTCCTTACTTTTTGGCACAGCCTGTTCCAGGTTCATCTTTCCCTGCCCCAGCCCTGGAATTAGCCGTTTCTCTAAGGAACCCTGGTTCCTTTTAGTGGTGAAGGATATTTTGAAACCAAAACCTGGGCTCTAGTTTGTGCTCATTGCTACTGGGATGTCATTACTTCTAAGCCTTCTCAGCAGAAAGAGGTAGAAAATATATGTATATATGTACATACATGTACATTTATATGAACATATATACCTTTATCTATTTCTATATTTAACAGTCTTTATTAGGGCTTGGCAAACTACAATCCAAGAGCCAAATCCAGTCCACCACCTATTTTTATAAACAAAGTTTTATTGCAATACATCCATGCCTATTTGTTTGCATACTGTCTCACTCGACAACTGCAGAGTATGATAGTGGTGAAAGAAACTTCATGGCTCAAAGAGCCAAAAATATTCACTATCTGGCTCTTTACATAAAGTTTGCCAAACTCTGGTCTATATTAAAAACAGTGAGTTCATTCTAATACTTTCAATTCCAATCCAACACCACAGGGAAAGTCCTTCCACCTTTCCCATATTTGTAATTCCCTCCTCTGACAGTGAGGTACCTCCCAGTATCCTCAAGATGTTTACTTATATGTGCAGTCCACTTGCACAGAATATATTTCCCAACTGCATTAGCCAGATCTCTTCAGCCCAGATGAAAGGAAATGGAGGCTTTCATTTTGATATCTGGTAGGGCAAACTCTTCTCCCTTACTATTTTTAAATCTTTTCCAAAATATTCTGTTTACATTTATAGAAATACCCTATTCTGTCTACTCTTCCAGAGACTATCCTTAAATGAATGACTTATTTCCTCTGCTCCATTCCCAAACAGCAGTAATAGGAACAGAGGAGAAGGAGCTGTTCTCCATTCTTGGAATACCTTTGAATACTCACTGGGACTTCATAGCTTGTGCTCTTCCCATGGAGCAATGTTAAAGCTTGCTGTCTAGAAAAAATAGGAATTCTGTATAGGCCTTTTGAATAGTGACAGGCCATGTGAAGTACATAGCTGAAGAATTTATACTTCTTATTTTTGCTGAAAAATGTTAAAGGGAGCAGAAGCATTGGAAGCAATCTGAATGGAGATGTGTGGCACAGGTAGAGTATTGTATCTGCAGTATATAATTTTTACATATGTTTGTTTGCAGGATGCCATGGCTTTTAATAAGTTTAATGTTCTCCACTGGCATGTAGTTGACGACCAGTCTTTCCCTTATCAGAGCATCACTTTTCCTGAGTTAAGCAATAAAGTAAGTAATTGATGTTATTGTTATCTCTGTCTACAAAATCTTTTGGTTTAACTTCACATGAAGTTTGTAGCTTAAATGTTTCTTCTTTGATGTTGTGTGGCTTTTTTAACTAGGCTATAGCTTAGCCCTTTGGATCCATAAAATTTATATTATTGTTACTATGTTATTTTAAATAATATTTAGGGACAGTATAAATATAGTTTTTAAAACTTAATGAATGTAGGATAAGGAGGTCTGGTAGTATAGTGGTTAAGGCATTTGACTACTAACCAAAAGGTCAGTGGTTCACACCCACCAGCCACTCCATAGAAAGAAAGATGAGGCGCAGTCTGCTTCTGTAAAGATTTACAGCCTTGGAAACTCAATGGGGGTCACTATGAGTCAGTATCGACTCAGTGGCAGTAAGGTTATTTTTTTAAAAATGTAGGAGACCTGAAGCATTCATGAATAACATTAGGTTAAGATATTATTATCAAGTGGTCCAGATATACATTTGTTTTAAATAGAACTGTTCTTAATTCTATAAATGACTTTTTTGTTCTTCTCTGAAAAACCACATGAGAAGAGAATTTCAGAAATGAGAGATATTCTTGGAAAATGGTGGTCTCAGTTGGAAGTGTTCAAATCGTTTGTACTGTAGACCAGTGGAGCTGAGAGGGGCTGCTCAATATCACCTTGTTCAGTCTCCCTGTAATACAAAGAAAATAGCTAAGGCCCAGAGAAGTTATGTGTCTTGTCCAAAGTGGCACAGATAGGAAGGGGCAGAGCCAGTTTGCTTAATGCTGTTCTCTGACTACAATTTGAAAGCTTTCCCCAATGTAATGATGTAATACAGGTTGGAATGCTAGAAGCACTTGTGTTTTTATTTGCTTTTGTTATACTCTTTACTATGGAAATTTGTACTCATCAATATTTACCCCAATGACTCCTTCATCAATTATTTTGAAGCCAACCCCAGAAATCATATCTCACCTGTGGAAAGGCTTGGTTTTGTCAAGCATAATACAATTATCACACACAAAAAATTAACAATAATCCCTTAATAACATCAAATACCCAGTCAATATTCACATTTCCCCATTTGTATTTTCCTTTTTTAAAAAAAAAAAAAACATTTTATTTGAATTGAGATGCAAATGAGGCTCACACATTGTGGTCAGTTGGTATCTATTACTTCTCTTTGATCTACAGGCTCCCCCTCAATTTCTTTTTTTAATTCTTTATTTTTTCCTTATAATTTGTTTTGGTTGTTGAAGATCCAAGTCCCTTGTTCTTTCTGTAGTTTCCCAGTCAGGGTTTTGCTGACTACATCCCCACGGTGCCATTTAATATGTTCTTCCATCCTCTGTTGTTGTTGTTGTTGTTATGTGCTGTTGAGTAGGACCCAACTCACAACGACCCCTCCTTGGGTTACTGAGGCAGTATCACTACTGAAGTAGATTACATCCTCTATATTTCCTATAAATTCTTAGTTAGATCTAGTCTGGATTAGATACAAATTTGATCTGGGGGCAGGGCTGGGGAGACTATTTGTCAGGAGTTAAGCACATAATAGCCCCTCTCTTGAGAAATATGCTACAGTAACACCTTCAGTGGACCTTGTCTTTCCTTACAACCAGTATTGAGTTCTATAGTGATTTACAAAAAGGACTGAGAGTAATCTTTTTTTAAAAAAATCAAGTCAATTATCAGTCTATGGGGGAATTTTTAAAGATAAATTGGAAAACGACTACAGCTATGCTTTGTAATATGTGCATTTTGATTCTAAACTTCACAAGGGCAATGTATTCAGAGTTTTTGTAGGTTTCACTCTGGAGATAAATGTTCTATTTCCATTCTTGTATTGTTAAATGACACAGCATCATGGCAGGCGTTTTTTCAGTAGAAGGCGTTGGTGGAAACAGGTGTCTATATCAGTAAATCTGAGACTAACCACAGTGTACTGACAGCTTACTGATAAAATATAATAAACAAATCATTTGACAAGAACCCCTAAATGGTATTTCATTCCTTGGGTGTATGTGATTTAGTAGAAATTTACTTTCTGTTTTTAATAGCTTTTCTATTCCTGTAACCATGTGTAGTGTATTATTTTTAAACAAGTAATTCAGTATCACATGGAGACTGTTTTATGTTTTAATACATTGTTATATTGTAAATCAGCTACCAGATATCAAAGTGCAAACAGAATTGTTGACAATTTCTAGGACAAAATCCACTTTGCCCGTTTTAACCTTAATACATGTGCCTTTTACAGGGAAGCTATTCTTTGTCCCATGTTTATACACCAAATGACGTCCATATGGTGATTGAATATGCTCGGTTACGAGGGATTCGAATCATTCCAGAGTTTGATTCCCCTGGACATACGATGTCTTGGGGAAAAGGTATGGAGTTTGTGTTACATAAGTTGCATAAAATGAACATCTGAAGTCTTGCATTGCTTATTTTATGGCTTAGCATTTGCTCATTTTGTTCTCATTCTGATTTGTGCAAAGGCAGCACTATGGACAGATACAGTTCAGTAACTGCAAGGCACTGTGCTTAGGTATTGCTTTAAATATCAAATAAACAGGGATAAAGGAAAACATAAATAATGAATACAAAAGTTGAACATAAGTGAATATAAGAAATAGTTTTATGGATATGGTAACACTTAAAATGCTTCTGAGACTGAATAATACATTCATGTTTCTGGCAAATGGAATAGCATGAGTAAAGGCATAAAACAGTATATGATATGTTTGCCAAGTATTTGGTTGGACTATAGTGGGAGCTCTGTTGGCGTAGTGCCTAAAGCATTTGACTGCTAACCAAAAGGTTGGTGGTTCAAACCCACCAGCCACTCCTTGGAAGGAAGGCTGGGCAATCTACTTCCATAGAGATACCACCTCAGAAACCCAAGGAGGGGTCACTATGAGTCGAAATCGACTCGATGGGAGAGAGTTAGGTTTTTTGAATAGTGTAGCAAAGGGTAAAAGGTATTATAGGCTAGTGATTAAGAATTTTAGGCTTTGGAGCCATACTGCCTGGGTTTGAATCTTGCTTTTGCCAAGTATAAACTGGGTGACCTTGGTCAAGTTACCTCACACCCAGCCTCAGTTTTCTCATCTCTAAAATGGGAGTATTAAGAGTAGCTATCACATAATGAAGGAGCCCTGGTGGTGCAGTGGTTAAGCATTCAGCTGCTAACTAAAAGAAAGATGTAAGCAGTCTGCTTCCATAAAGATTACAGTCTTGGAAACCCTATGGGGCAATTCTACCCTGTCCTATAGGGTCACTATGAGCAGAATCAACTCAATGGCAATGAGTTTGGTTTTTTTGGTTTATTATATCCTTATTTTGAAGATTAAATAATGAATGTACAGCATGGAGCACAATATGTAGCATTTATAAGTGCTCAGTAAAGACTAGACATGAGGATAGTGGGAAATAGGTCTGGAAATGTACATTGTGTAGAGGATCTCGGGTAAGGAACGTAGGCTTCATCATCACACACCGGAAACCAGTAAGTTTCTGAGCAGGAATGACATGATGGGAGCCACACTTTTGGCAGACTTCTGTGGAAGTGACAGATTGGAGAGGGAAAAAGACCAGAATGGCACAGCAGGAATGGAAAATGCTGGACAGAACTGAGATTCTCAAGATGTAATCCACAGAGCCTGACAAGTGATTGGCTCCAGGGGGAGAGGGAAGCATTTCAAATGAGGAGGATGGTGGTACCCTCACCAGATATGGAAATCAGAAGCTGGAGAAAGAGGTTAGGGAATGGAGGGTTTCGTTTTTTGTTAGAACCGTATTTGAACTGCAGCTAGGATATCTAGCTGTATGCAGCAGGGAATCTAAAACGTGGGATGATTCTCAGCTAAAAGGCGTGAGCTGTAGATGCAGATGTGGGATTCATTAATATTCAAGATAATATTTGAAGTAGATAAAATCTCAGAGAGACTGGATGGAAATGGAAACCAAGAGGCAATAGGATGGGATTCAGGAAGCAACTCTCCCTCATCTTATTTAGAAGAAATTACCTAATAACTCTTACTAAACATGCTTATCTTTCTCTATATACAATCTTTTATAGCTTCAACAAAACAAAAGTAATATAATCATGTGCAAAGCTGTGTCTTCGTGACTTAAAAGCTTCCTTAAAAATCTTCATGGGTTCTTCTAGGGCAGAACGACCTCCTCACACCGTGTTACAAACAACAAACGCCATCTGGGGATTTTGGACCTATAAACCCCATTGTGAATACAACTTACAGCTTCTTGTATAAATTCTTCAAAGAAATTAGTGAGGTGTTTCCAGATCAATTCATCCATTTAGGAGGAGATGAAGTGGAATTTCAGTGCTGGTATGATAATTCTTTTAAATAATTCTTATTAACTGTTCTATTTGAAGCAGCTATGGATATCTCCACTTAAAAATGAGGAGTTAGGATAATACCTTTGGTTGTAAGAATTTCAACCTGGCAACACAACTCCTGAGATGGTGGATTTTTATAGCATGTACATTTTGGTGGTATACCAAAGTGAAAGACTGAGGAAAAAGAATTCTAAATGCAGAAGGAAATGGAGGTTATAAGAGATTAGTAGAAAGAGAAAAGCTTTAGTTGAAGTGGCAATGACTGAAGTGATAAGAATTTTTCAAGTAGCATTAAATGAATGGGAGAGTCAGGGAGTAAAAAAAGCCATTGTTATGGGTACTCAGCTTCTAGAAAAAAACTATTTGCAATGGAAAAACTAAGATAACACATAATTAAGTTTTTAGGCTTCTTTTACTCCCTATAAAGCTTAATAGTTTTAAATAAAGAATTAGAGATTTGTGCTGCTTTAAATAACAGATCAGGCATATAAAATGTTTAATGAAACTTTATTCACTGTTTTTGTTGAAGGGCGTCAAATCCAGACATCCAAAATTTCATGAAGCAAAAAGGCTTTGGCTCAGATTATAAAAAACTAGAATCTTTCTATGTTCAGAAGTAAGTTACTTGAAAGCCTACTTATATTTTTATTTCATTAATGCCTTTTGTAAAACTTTTGGCTGTTATTGAGTAGTTTTATTTTTTCATTTCCCTCCACTGCTTGCCAAAGTGTCACTGTTGTAAAAATCACTAAGGTGGGAAGCAGTAGTCATTGCTTTCTTTATATCATCAATATGGTGACTCCAAGTTTTTTATAATAACTTGAAATTTAGGAGCCCAGCCATCTATTCAAGAGCTTAGCTTAAAGCCCTGGCTACCCTGTGAAGTCTTCACCACCACCTAGATTCCCTTTGTCAACTCCAGGAATATTTCTTTTACTCTATCCCTGCACTGTCCAGTATATTAGCCATAGCTACCATGTGTCCATTTACATTTAAATTGACTAACATGAAATTAAAAAGCCAGTTCTGCAGTTGCAATAGCCAAGTGCTTGATTACCAAGTGTGGCCAGTGGCTACCACACTGGACAGTGTAGGCATGGAACATTTCCATCATTGGACTGCTGCTCTATACCGGGGGTCAGCAAACTTTTTCTGTAGAGGGACAACAGTAAATATTTTAGGCTTTGTGGGCCATGTATGGCTGCGTCATCTTTTTTTTTCAGCAATTCTTTAAAAATGTAAAAATCATTCTCAGCACACGGGCCACAAAGAAATAGGCCACAGGCTCTAGTTTGCTAACCCCTGCTCTATACCATTCATTTGGTAAGCCCAGATTCTAGCTTTTTCCTACTTAGCTTTTTGTGTAATGCCTTCTTCTTTGTTTTTAATCTTACAGAATACTTAGCTTTTTATAAATATCTGTAAATATTTGTGTATTCATTGTCTGCAGCTGTTGACTGTTACTTAGGTGATATGATAGGCTAGATTATGCTTTCTAAGATATTCATGAAATTACCAGATTGCTGTTTGTATATTTCTATGAGTTGCCTGCTAATTCAATTTGAGGCCATTTCTTCCTATCTTAGGGGTATGTTTAACTCATTGCATCCAGCAAATGACTATTAAGTCCCCATATAGTGTTAGGTTCTAAGCAATGTGTTAGAAAGAAGGAACTACTGGGGTCACTTGACTTCAGCTGACTCTAAAGCTATGTTAAACTGGAAGGTACCCCTCAACAGTAGAAGTAATTTTTGGTAGAATATGTGTATGCTAAAATGTATTGTTAAACTTGTGATCTGAAATACCTTGTAATTTTTTTCACTGCTAGGCTTGTGGACATCATTGCAAACATAAACAAGAGATCCATAGTCTGGCAAGAGGTTTTTGATGATAAAGTAAAGGTGAGAATTGTGAAGACTGTATCTGATTCTGTAATGTAAGTGTCTTAATATTCTAGCATCTGGAATGGAAGGACTCTTAATGAGACTGCCCCCAACATGTCAATTAACTTACCCTTCCATTTAAACTTTAAAGCAGTAGCTGTAGCCCAGGACCAGTGACAATGGCATTTGTTTCCTTTCTTCCCTCTACTTCACTCCTTAGTGCCTCTTCCTTCTCATCTCTTCCTCTACCCATCTTTCATTATTAAGCTGAAGTACTGTGAATAAAGTCCATCTTTGTAGAAGGACAAGGAGCTCTGGTGATGTAATGGTCAAAGCATTTGGCTGCTAACCAAAAGATCAGTGGTTCAAACCCACTAGCTGCTCCATGGACAAAGGATGAGGCAATCTGCTTCCGTAAAGACTTACCAGCCTTGGAAACCCAGTGGGGGTTGCTATGAGTCAGAACTGACTCAATGGCAGTGAGTTTGCCTTTTTTTTCTTGGTTTTCATAAGGGAAGATCAGACAGGTAAGAAAAAAATGAGTCTGTATTGCTATTAAGGTAGTTTTATAGTAAAACTGTCAGTGTAAATTTTTTTTCTTTCCGAGGTAGTCAGAATTTTTTCCCCCCTTGGGGCAGCTGTGAATTTGCAAGTCCAGCTACCAATATTACCTTTTCATAAGGGTTGGTGACATCCTCATAGTTCCAAAGTGAAATAGTAGGCCTTAGTTCATAGCACTCACATGGTGACATGTATAAGCAAAAGCTAAATAGCTGACTTAAGGTTGATGAAACTTCTGATTTTAAGTCCCTAACCAGAAGGAAGGTTGGGTAATCTACTTCCGTAGTGATACTGCCTCAGCAACCCAAGGAGGGGTTGCTATGAGTCGGGTCAGACTCGATGGCAAGTAACAACAACAACAGTGCATCAAGTTCCTAGCCCATTTGGAACTAACACTGAAGAAAAAGGAAGAAAATACATATGTGCTTTTTCAAGGATCTTTGTTATTTTCTAGCTATAATGACTTGAACTTTCAGCATCATCTTCTTTATGTGCTAACCCTACTAATATAGTATGTATTGCAATTTGCAACTTTTAATAGCTTCCACCAGGCACAGTAGTTGAAGTATGGAAAAGTGACAGTTATCCTGCTGAACTAACACAAGTCACAGCAGCTGGATTCCCTGTAATCCTTGCTGCTCCCTGGTACTTAGATTGGATTAGTTACGGACAAGACTGGAAAAAATACTATGAAGTGGAACCTCTCAATTTTTCTGGTAAGTAAAGCAACCACCATTAGCTTGGCTTGTATTTCTTTCCTGCTCTACCACCTGAGAAATCCTTACACCTAGCTATTGCATACTAGCTACTACCCTATGTGTGACCCTTGATTTTGGAATGCTTTGAGTAGGTGTGTGTGTGTCTATTTAAAAAAATTTAAAAAAAAGGAAGACGACTATCATCTTTTTAAACTCTGTGAAAGGAGTCCTGCCACTCACTTCCCACATTTTGAAGATGTTTGACTGCATTACTCTTTTATCTCCTCATCTGAAGAAAGGATAAATTTAGCTCAGTGGAATTCGTCCTTGGGGTAATGGGCAGTGAGAGTGTCCAAGTGGCAGAACTTCAGGCCCTCAGTCCCCTTTCATTGAGAACTGCTCTACTTTGTCCAGTTCTATACATCATACTTGAGTATCAAATTTTCTTTTGAAAAAAGGATTTTGCTGTTTAAAAAAATAGTTTGAAAACTGTAGGGCTATTAGAAATTGATAGTAACAGTTTCTCTAGAAAGCATTTTCTAAGGGTCAAAGTAATGATTACTTTATCATGGTATTAAGTACTTAGTCTTTTTTTCTTAAAAAAAATATTAAGAAGTAGAAATTGAAGGCAGGAGTGAGTAACGGTCACAGTGCATTAATAATGAAACTGGTGTGCCAAGTTGTACTCCCCGGCACACTATTAATAAAACAAAACACACTGCTGTCAAGTCAGACCCAACCCATAAAGACCCCTCCTTGGATTTCTGAGGCAGTATCACTACGGAAGTAGATTGCCCAACCTGCCTTCCAAGGAGCAGCTGGTAGGTTTGAACCATCAGCCTTCTGGTTAGCAGTCAATGCCTTAGGCACTATGCCACCAGAGCTCCCTACACTATTAATAGGTAAGGCAAAAACCATTTCTGGTGTCCAAATAAGTTTGCGTTAAACCAAATAAAACAGTATGTTTAATACTGGCCCACCACCTTTAGTGTTCATATGCCAATAAATACTGTGAATCATGGACCAGGGGTGGAGACAAAGTTTGCTCCTGTGTATAATCCTTGAACTACAACTATTTACATCAAGTTAATGGTTTCAATGTAGGTTCTCAGGAACAGAAAAAACTCATCATTGGTGGAGAAGCTTGTCTATGGGGAGAGTATGTGGACGCAACCAACCTCACACCAAGATTATGGTATGCAATGTAATTAGTAACATTTGAATTAAGAAATAAGGTGCCTTAGCTTCTTTTTTCCAACCAAATGGGAAAGCAGTAGGAATTCTCCCAAGTATATGATTTAGATACTTGCTCAGGAAAACATGAATTTAAAGTGCTTTGGGGACGTGTGGCTTAAATTTTAGGCCTCGGGCAAGTGCTGTTGGTGAGAGGCTCTGGAGTAACAGAGATGTCAGAAATTTAGACGATGCCTACAACAGATTAACCAGGCACCGCTGCAGAATGGTCAGGTAAGACAAATGGCTGTTTCTCAAGCTACTGTTAAGTTCCATATGATTTTAACCCTCTTACTCAGTGTTAGCTAACTTCTTTGTTTTTTGCTATAAACAGAAATGTATGTCATGTAAGTAGCTGATTTAATTAAGAGGAACGGAGATTATTTTTTGTGGGTAAAGAGTATTCCTATGAGAAGATACATTTAGACTCACAGCTGTTCTATAGATATTAAATCTTGGTGTCGCAGCATCATCTCTAATCACTAACATATTTACCAATCTCAGGTGATTTTTCCTCTTCTGTCCCCAATAATTATGCCATGGTTTGGTGATTCTGATTCAAGCTATTAAGTTCCTTAAAGGGCCAATGAAGGATATTAACAGAAACATCTTTTATTCACACTTTTATTTGTTCTACAGACGTGGAATAGCTGCAGAACCCCTTTTTACTGGATACTGTAACTTTGAGAGTACATAAAAATAGCCTAAATGAAGAAAAACAGGAGGGGAGAAAAGGCCACAGCAATCTGTTCTACAATCAACTTGATTTTGAAATCATGGAAATGAAGATTTATTGGACTGTTTTTGGAATAAAATGTATCTTTTTAATGATTGAACTTTTAGCTTATTTTACATTAGGTATAGAACAATGGCATCTTCCTTGTGAGAAGCTTAAAGCAAAACAAAAACACTTTGTGCTACATTCAGTATACCCAAAGGAGTAAGTTTTTACTACTGATTAATTGGCAATAAAATATATCAAGAATGAGAACTTCATAGACACACAAGAATATTTACACAAGTATATTTACATTTCAAAGCACATTTCTCATTATATAAATTACAAAGGTCATCTCCAGGGCCACTGCCAGTCAGTCTTCCAAGTTACATCTTTTATCTAGTTTTCTGTACTAAAACAGTAATGTATCTACCCAACAAATAAAGAAATAAAATTGTTCTTACTGAAAATGAAGTAGGTAGGTACTCCTGAATGTCCCTCCATTTTCTGAGACCTAAAACGCTTAGGCCAAGCCACTCCTCCGGTTGAGCAGCATACGTTGGTCCTGAGGATTCATGGCTTGATAATTAGATAGTTCTAAGGCGAAAGTAGCTGAGCCTGATGTTAGTGTTCGAAGCACAGTTGAATAACCCTAGTCAAAATAATTTCAACCAGTTATTTCATCAATTTAAGCCCCAGTTTCTCTTTCTGCTGCTTATCTTTTAGCCATTATCATGGAAGGGTGATGGTGTTATTCATATGGCTTGGCCACATAGTTTCTTTTCAACAAATCATTTAATCCCCATGCCTTATGAGATCAAAGGGGCAGCCTCTGCCCAGGGATAAAGCTCAGAAGGCAGGGAAGAATAGGAAGGAAGGACAAAGGGAAATGGTAACCACAGGGAGGAAATGGGAAGAGTACTGTTACATTGTGGGGATTGCAATCAATGTCACAAAATAAAATGTATGAATTGTTGAATGGAAAACCAATTTGCTCTGTAAACTTACAGCCAAATCACAATTAAAAACAAACAAACTGGTAGAAGTAAGATAAACAATTGGAGGGGAAAAACAATGGTCCTTTAGGCTGATGCCATATTTTGGTACAGCATACCTCAACCTTGGTGGCCCCAGACTGGAAATAACCCCGAGAGGCTCTAACCCCTTAGACTTTGCTGACAACTTAAATGCAAAGTCCTAACAGTTCCTGATGGTTTAAGCATTCTCCGACTCAAAGCCCTGATGCTGCTTCTGGGTTAACTGATTGCCTATTTCTGCTCAGCGTGTTATCTCCCCTGTATAAATAAAAGAATATGCACTTTTCAGTGACAAAGTACCTACCATCATTTCTGCCAGAGGAACAAATCCAGTAACAACTCTGTTGTCCTGGCGAGTCTGAATCTCCTGAACGTTCCCTCTTCTTTGTGCCAGATCTGCCAGGACAGGGCTGAGGTAATCACTACTCACTGTAACCTCGAGATGCATCAGAGGCTCTAAAACTTGCTTATCTGCTTTCTTCAGAGCCTAAAGAAATGAAAGAATGTTAACCTTGCTTGCTGAAATTGGAAATCATATTTGTCTGGGGGAAAAAAAAAGGGGGGGGGTGAGATGGAGAATAATTTATGCAAATTTTTAATTACTGCCTAGACTCAAGTCTTGGGCTCTACCAGGAAGACACAAGGTTGCTTTAACTTTATTAAGATAACATTATCAGTACAAATGATAATGGCAAACAGTACAAACTTTGCTATTTGTACACGTGTGATAAAGCATGTCTAAGGTCTCATGTACAGTATGTTGCAAGGGGCAGAAATTATATAGAATCTTTCTGTGAGTATGTGGGCAGAGAAAACAATTTTTGCCTTTGACATGAAGATTCATTTCTTTAATATTTGAACCTGATGTTTCTCTTCCTGAGTTACCCATGTTACATGTCAGAGAGAGCAATCAAGGGGGAAATAAAGGGGAGAGATTTAAAAAAAAAGAAAAATTCAGCACAATGAAGGTGGTATAAATACATTTTCCATTTTTTTAAAATGAACTCTGCCTTGCTTAATAATCTGTTTAGACTTTAGCCTTCACATGCAAAGTATATGCACATAAAAAAAAGAATATGGAGACTGAAGAAAAGAGCTAAACTAAGGCAAGTAGGAAGTAGAATAAAACTGGAGAAGTAGCAGCGATATAAACATTTTTATTGACGTTCCAGTCAGACAATTTCTTTACTAGTATCATTACATAGGATAAACTGGGAAAGGGGCTTTGGATGGAGTTTGCAAGCACCATTAATACTGCTAAGTTTGATTTAAAAAGCTATCCTAGTTCTCTAGCTTAGAGTTCAAAATCTAAAATATTTTCCTATAAATTTTAAGCCACTGGTGGTGTAGCGCCCAAGGCATTTGACTGCTGACCAGAAGGCTGGCAGTTCAAACCCACCAGCCACTCCTCAGAAGGAAGGCTGGGCAATGTACTTCTGCAGTGATACTGCTTCAGAAATCCAAGGAGGGGTCGCTATGAGTTGGATCCAACTTGACAGCAGCTGAGTTTGGGTTTTTTTTTTGGTTGGGTAGTGCTTGAACAATCTCTTTTGAAAGATCAGCACAAGGCCGGTCCCCATGAGGCGGAGGTTAAGATGTCCCAAATGTCCAAACTACCATGCCACTCCATCATTTCAGACATTAACTCCTCCTCCTCCCAGTAATTTCCCCTGTCTTAGGGTTCTGTATTTCGCTGTAACGCCTCACAGAACTCACAGACACCCAAGGGATCGTCTCACGTAGTAGTGGTGGAGGCTGGCAGGCTGGTGAGTCCTGGGTCCGTGAGTAGGTCTGGAGGATCCTCCCAACTCTCGGGGTTTGATGAACCTCGATCAGCACAGATGATGGCTGTTGTCCCAAATCCAGGGGTGAGATGAGGATGATCCAAGACACAAAGCTGGAGCAAGAGGAGAGCGAATCTTCCCAGGAGATTGTAGGTGTACCCTCAGGGAAGCTGAGGGTGGTGATTTGAATTATACCCTCCAGCAAGGCAGGACTCAAGATAAATTTCACCTGTGTTGCTCCAACAGCAATAACCCAAGTGGAAGGCTTTAACAATCAGTAGCTCAGGCAAATCCCACCACAGAGCCAACTGCCAGTCATTATAGGGAACAATTACTATCAGCTGTCCAGCCAAGTTGACACCTGACCTTAACTACCATACCACCCCAAACAGGCATGGATAATGGGATTTACAATACATCACAGAATGGAGGACAATGGCTAGAAGGGCCACATCAAGCAATTCACCACACTGCACCCCCTGGCTCTTCTAGCCATTAGCTGTTTCACACTGGAAAGATTAATTTGCCCCTCCCAATCATATTACAGGTCCCAAGGTCATTAACAATTAGTCTTTCAGCAAGGCAAAGAGTCCTAAGGGTGAGATTATTCAGATACCAGCCATTCAGTTCTGCTGTATTTGTCCATCTGATTCAAAAGTTTTTCTCATTATCATCCTTATGGTATCTGATATTTAACTGAGATAAATTATTCCCTTGTTCTGAGTCTATCTTTAGATATCAGCACAATGTTGGATTTCTCCTGCTGCATAACCTTTACCTTCAGCTATTTTTTCTCCTTCTTTCCATTCATCATTTATTTTTACCCATAGTTTCCATCTTGGGAGGGGACATCAAGTTCAGCTGTTGTGCCTATCCATATTGCTGGTAGCAAGATCAGTCTAGCAAGTGCTTCTCCCTCAGTCCATTCCCATTCATGCTGGGTATGGTTACACAGGTACAAAACTAGTGGGTTATCTCAACCACTGGGCAGTACGGTAGTATTCACTGTCAGCCCTAGTTTGGCCAGATGGGGAGAAGGTACAATCCATCCCATAAGGCCCTTGGGAATTCTGGCATACAGGTTCAGAGGTATAGACACAGTTTCTTGCTTAGGGATCACACCAGCCTCTGGCACCCGCCACTGCATCCCAGGTCCAGGGACCACAGCTTCTGGCAGGAAGAAAGCAATGTTAGGTGAGGTGGGGAAAAACTGTGCAGTGGCACCAGCATCTTCCCCCACTCCTTCTTCCCTAGATCCCCCAGAAAAGTGTAGGAATCTGTCGAGTGGTGATCCTCCCTTCGCCCCCTCATGTTGAGTGGGAGCACACATTCATGAAAGCGTGTGAGCCAGCCCTTTAGGCCTTTACCTCCCCCAGTTTTAGACAACAAATGTTTCAATTGCCCATTTCCAGTTCTCTATCAAACCATTACTTTGAGGATGGTATGCAACATGGTATGTCCACTTAATATGATGTTTTTTGGCCCATTGCTGCACCCTATGGGATGTAAAGTGTGTTCCTTGGTCTGAGGAAATAAAACTTGGTGGCCCAAATTGGTACAGTACCTTTTGTTCCAATCCTTTAATGGTGTTTTTGGCATTTGCATCTGTCACAGGATAAGCAAAGCCCAGTCCAGAGTAAGTATCTATTCCTGTGAGGACCCATTTATAGCCACCTGGAGCCACTGATGTCATGGGTCCTATATAATCGACTTGCCAGCTATGTGCAGGGCCTTCCCCCTGGGGAATGAGCCCCATAGCCATCTGTAACCCTTGTTTTTCTTGCTGACAGAGCAGACCCTATTGGCATTTTGTGCCTCAGAGGGTGCAAGAGGGATGTGCCTCGATTCAGCCCATCTCTGCATTACTTCAGCACCCCCATGTCCACTCATCTCATGAACCCAATTGGCTACCTCAAGGGAGTGTACCAACATATCCACTTGCTGGTTCCAATCACCTTCTGATCCAGGAAGGGGATTCTTCCGATGGGCATCGACATGGCTTACTCTAATGCGTCCTCTGAACTCCCAGAGTGCTTTCCATAGGGCCATGCCCCACACAAGGGTCCCCTTAATAGTCCAATTGTCCATCGCCCATTTGCCTGACCATATAGCCAGGCCATTGGTGACTACCCATGAATCAATGAAAATCCAAACATAT